ACACTCTTAGAGGTGACAGTTATCTGTTTCTTGAATATTCCTGCAGACTTTTTTCTTTGCATTTTTACAAGCGCATATGTACATATGGAAATGCTATAGTTTTGTGTGTGGGGTGTGTGTGTGTGTGTGTGTGTGTGTGTGTGTGTGTGTTTGAATCCTGCATATATGGTGTCATCTTGTAAACATTGTTTTGCAATTTGCTTTTTCTACACTCCCTCTTGGGGATCTTTCCAGGCAGTAAAAATAGACCTATTCAGTCTTTTAAACTATTGCATAGTATTTAACTGTATGATGGTACTGTAATCCACTCAGACCTTTCCTCTGGAAATGAACCTTGGCTGTTACAAAAGCGCTGCAGTGAATATCCTGGTACTTGCTTGTTGTGCATTTGTTGTAGGATAGGTACCTAGAGTGGTGATTGTCTTAAAATTAAGCATAGTAGAGAGTGTGTTTTTTAATCAACCTAAAAAGATGTGCAGTATTTTAATATTTGTTGAAAAAGAACTTAATTTTAGCTTGATAAAACAAACTTTAACACTGCGTTCTGCGTGAATAAATTTGTTTGGTCCTGTATTAGTTGGACTGTTTAAGTACTGATCTATATAGGTTTATGTATTAATGTTTTCTTTTGGTTCAGTTAGTTCAGCTGTATCTATGACAGTTAAAATATGAATCTATGTATTTCCTTTTTCAGTTAAAATATGAATCTATACATTTCCTTTTCCCCCTCCTCCTGTAACTCCCTAATGGGAACAGAGTTTGCATTGGGTAGAGGGGAATTGAAAAGCAAGAGTCCACGGACTTAAGTAGAAATTCCAAATCATAGATTTTCAGATATCAGTATATATATATATATATAGGCAGTTCCTTATCTTAAATAATATTTTAAATGTGATAATAACATATGCTTTATAAATAGCATATTCTTGAACAGCATCCGTTAAATGTGGTTTTCTAAGTATTTGAAAATGACTTGTAAAGTAATTTCTTGGCCTTAGTAGACCTTCTTTACACCGTTTATGTAATTCTTCTACACCCCAGTGCTAGATCTTGGCATAGCATTCAGGAAATAGTAAAATCCTCATTAGTAGTGACTGAATTAATGAGTTTCTTAAAAATAATATTTTGAAGTACTCCTACAAAGTCTTTATAAAGCCTAAGTTAAAGAATGTAGAAGGTGGGGGTACCTGGGTTAAGGTTAGGTGTCCAACTCTTGGTTTCGGCATAGGTCATTATCTTACGGTTTGCGAGCTGTGTTCTGACAGCTCGGAGCCTGCTTGGGTTCTCTCTCTCCTCTCTGCCCTCCCTCTCTCGTTTCTCTCTCTCTCTCTCTCTCAACTTTTTTCTTTTTGAGACTTCAAACATTTTGATTGTTTATAGTATTGTAGGTTATTTTTCCAATTTATTTCCATTATTTGTATTTTTCATAATGAATTACTGCTAAATAAATAATTCACAGATAGAATTGACAGATTTTTCTTGTAATGTTTACATTTCAAATTATTTCACCATAGTCTGTGTTTTTCCAGGCTTTGTAGGTGATTTTAAATTTGATTAATTACTTATTTTCCTCCTACCAAAGAAAACTGCAGTTCATAAAACATCTTTTTATATTGTGGGAATGAAGATAAATAATTTGTTATATGTTATTTAGGTGAAAAATACATATGTTCACTTAACCCCGAAATTCACAAGATTTCATCGGGATTCAGAGGCTAGGCCAGCTATTGTCATCTTTATGGGCCTGATCTAAATGTCAGTGTAGGATTTATTTTTTTTAAAGAGTGATTTACAAAGTCCAGAGTCAGAAACACCTGTAGATTTAAATGTTTGTTTCTCAAGATGCAGTAGTGCTTTTGGGATTCAGTGATTATTGTGATAACTTATTGGTCACAAGTTTTATATATATATATACACACACAGTGTTATAAAGATAAACATTGCTTATAAAAGAAGCTATCATTTCTGTACATTTCCTCTTTCTATTCATATTTCTCTCATTTTAAATGGACTTGTCCACATTTGAATTTTTACTTTCTAACCTTTCTACTTTAATTGACAAGAGTAAAAGAACTTTTCAAGGGAGTTGTGTGCCATAATGTATAGTATGTTTCATATAAAATGCTTAAGCTATGATTAGGCAGTGTCTTGGTCAGTTTAGGCTGCTCTGACAAAATAGCATAAACTAAGTAGTTTTATAAACAACAGAAATTTATGTCTCACAGTGTTGGAGGCTGGAAGGCTGAGAGTAGGATGCCTACATCATGATCTCAGTCTGCTAAGGAGGGCCTGCTTCCTGATTCATATAGCATTCTTTTCATTGTAACCACACTGGGCAGAAGCAGGGTCTCTTTTAGAAGGGCACTAATCCTAATCTGATCACCTCTCCAAGATCCCACCTCCTAATGCTAATCACTTTAGGGGTTAGGATTTCAACATGGGAATTTTGAAGAGACCCAACCATTCAGACTATAGCAGGCAGCGAATGACAACTTTGTTTATTTTTAAAGGTTTATTTTTGAGAGAGAAAAAGAGAGCACAAGCAGGGGAGGGGCAGAGAGAGAGGGGGACAGAGGATCGGAAGCAGGCTCCATGCTGACAGCAGTAGGCCTGATGTGGGGCTCGAACTCAGGAACTTCAAGATCATGACCTGAGCCAAAGTCAGACACTCAGCCAACTGAGCC